TCTATCTCCATGTATATATGTTTTTATTATGTTCAATTGCACACGTAGACTCAAAAGCTTTTAGACACTCTCTTCATGCTCAATAAATTTCCAGTAAAACGAAATAGAATGGCCAAGTCCACATTCTCATCGGATTTATAAATATAATTAAATTTTGAACGACTGCTGTGTTAAACACATGGAATTTTTGTATATATGTGTGTGCATATATGATGAAAATTTCAAATAAAAATTCACATCAATTTTCCTACTCTATTCAAAAAGCAGACAACACCGCAGCATATTTTATATTGATATCATATTTCAAATTGAAATGGTGGTATAAATCGAATTGAAATATCTACACAGCGACATACTACACTCGAGAAGAAAATGTGAAGTAAAACGCCACCCAAAAACTTCATCGATACGTAGGCAAACTCTAGTTCTTTTTTTTTTATTCTCGAGACTGAGCAAAAATTTGCATTACGTGTATACTACAACACTATAAAAAGAAAATATAAGCACGTGCGGCGGATCATTGAATATGTGCATTTATATTGATGGTAAACCAGAGACAGACTAATATACGTTAGCGAGATATGAGAGATAGATGGTATAGGTAAAATGTAACCCAGACATGAAATGAGATGTTAACGTTGATACTGATGTTGATATCGGTGACAATATCTTATTCTACTGTTCAAACACAGACACATACACACATACATCGATTTCAGATCAATATTATACACTTGAATAGATCGCTTCCACTGGAATATTAAATGGCAATTTCCAATATGATGTTAAACAGGAAAAAAAGCGAAAAATCATCATTGGGCCATAGAAGATGAACCATATCACAAAACCGATAATAATAGAAAAAAAATAAAATTACGACTTCGATGATGATACACTTACACATTACTCGCTGTCGCTGATTGTGCCTGTCAGCGTGCGTATTATATTTGCCCATATGTGATGATATTTTGAAATGGATTCGATGATTGAAGTTGATAGGCGGAAAATATGTGTGCAATTACATTTCAGATTTTATTATTTATTCAATGTAAATAAAAATCGAAAATTGATCGAGGAGTAAAAATTCAATAACAAATCAATCCTAAAACACACCCACACATACAATGATTCCTTTATTCCTCTATTGTACAATTACTCTTTCATGCCACACACACATACACACACCACCACCAAAAGTACACATCAATAATTCAATTTAATGTAATGTAAATAGACGAAATCATTTTGATCGCATGAACGCAAAATATTGGAAACACGCGCGCCGCATATTGGTGTGATTTTTGGCAAAATCATTTCATTAGCCGACAAATCTTGGCAATAAAATCATCGTTTTCCGTTGAAGTTCGTATAAACCAACTTGACTTACTGATTGTCAAGCATACAAATGGTGTATATCGCATCGCTTTTATGGTTGTTTACATGCCATTTCGGTCTTCATTGACTCACTTTCATTTTCCGCATAAACCGGTAATATCAATCAATAAATTTGAATAACAAAGTGAATATTTGCCTAAATGCTCATTTCATTTATTAAATGAAAAACGTTTACTATTTAAACACCTTCGAGTGTTTTTCAATCATTAACAATTTTGTTTCGCATCTTTGTCTGTCACGGTTGTTTCGGATAAAGATGTGCACACGACGGATTCAATCTTCGAAATTGTTTTCAACTACCATTCCATGGCTTAATTGAAAAGGTACCACTAATTTAGATTACGCGCGCCATATGCTTCGAAATGCTCGGAAATAGGATGCGTTAAAATCATTAACAAATGTTTGGGAAAAGAAGAAAAAAAACAGAGACACTCAGCGTATACGCCGTATAGCTTATTATTTATACTTAATAATGTATATCTAATTTCAATATTTAATGAAGATGAACCCCATTACACACAAACACCAACTTTTACTCCAAAGTAATCGGCCTCAACGAATTAAATTTTCACCCAGAGCGAATGATTCGTTTACCTTCATTTTGGGGTGACAGAGAGAAGCGGCAGTATTGTACTCATCGAATTATTACCAAGGCTAATGAGAGAGTATGCAAAGCACTGAGTCAACATACAGACCCAATAAAAGGATGTTCATGGAGATGCGTGTACGTGTGTGTGTATGTGACAGTCATTGACAAAATTGGGCACAACACAAACATTCCAGTTTTGCCATAAATTATCCAAAACAAAGTTCGAATGGATAGCGGAAGAATCGCTGACAACAGGAAGAAAACAGAGACACATGAAGAGCGAAAAATAGTGAAAACGGAATGAACGAATACGGTTAAATGCCTTTGCCACTACATGTGTTGGTATGCTTTAAATATAACATCTCATGCATGTATGTTCGAACGAAGCTCACTTTCGGCTGAGATTTCCATATAATTTCCACTTTATTCAAATTGGTTTGATTGAAATTGGATCCGCTCTTGAAATACATACAGTGCGAATAAATGAATGGGTACAAGAGACGTTGAAAAACTTACGGCCAAACAAGCGGTCGTAATTGATTCAATTTAAAAATCGCCCACGTAATGCCAGTTAGAGTAAATTTTCCAGACACAATCGATTTAAATCTCAATTTTCTCTTAAATTTCGTAAGCTTTATCTTGAGAAGTTTCACATGTGCAAACTATCGAAATTATGAGCATTACCGTTGCGTTGTTGAAGGTCTATGGTGTTGGGTGTCTTAATGTGATATTCAATTTTGGTTGCCGATTTGGATTATAGCATTAGTTTCACCGGAAACATAGAATAAAATGATGAGGACAAACATTGGATTCGTGTATATTAATTTTGTGGTGAAATTGCACGCGTCAAAAACGCAGTGCTTAAAAACTAATGTAATGGCATTGATCGTGTGGCGTCATTTGATTGACCAACATTTTCAAAGAATTTGCATGAAATCTGTTCGGTAATGCTTAAAACAAGCATTTCACATCAGCAAATGCAGTTAAACTTCACAAAATAAAACTACTTTATAACTATGATCGCAATAAATCTGCATTATGATGAGTACTCAAAAACTTTAACCAATCGTCGAAACCCCGAACTGTTCTGCATATAATAAAAGTATGCCATAACATTGACAATTGGTTTAATGGGTGAAAGCCCCGTTCGGATTACGAACGAATTTAACGCGACAGCGCATGTATACAACATGTAGTTTAAAACGCAGAACTCTGGCTAGAAGCAAATAGCGATATGCTTGTCTTCCGTGTATGTGATGTGGAAGGGAAAAAAATGAAATTACGATAAATGCTGGTGCAACGCACGTTATGGTTGCCTCTTGGGATTTATTGGCGATGTTGCGCAATTTAACTTGCAAATATTTTACTTTTGCATTTGGCGACCATACAAAACTATTTTGTCTTGGTTGCTACAGTTGCACATACATTTCATGAAACTTGTCTCTCTATTTTTTTCAGGAGTTTTGTAATACAGGTTGTTTCTTAATTCCATGGAAATCGCCTTGCAATAAATAGAATTTCGTGCAACAGTAACACTAATGAATTTTAACCTGAAGTTCGCTGTACCACAATTAAAGAAGCCGAACCGGGAAAATACTTTTCTACTCCTCTAGAACTGAGGAGTCTGTTGTACAGTACAGAGATTGACATGGAATTTAGAAACACCCTGTATAACATAGCTCGTACCAATTTTGCGATGTGCAAACAACTTTTCTGAAACTAAACTAAGGCTTTGATGCACGCGCGACCATTTTCATGAGCTGTAAACCGAGAAACAAAGTTATACAATGAGTTATAATCTTTTCTCATTGTAGGTTCGTGCATCGTTGTCAAGCACATGTATAGACTAATACTAAACACATTTGCTACGACGATCGCGTGGATTTTGTGACGCCAACACTAAATAGATTTTCAGCTAGTTGCATGGATTTCTCTATTGAGGTTTTCATTTGACATTATATTTTATTTTTTCTAGCTAACTGAATATCTTCTTCATAAGACGTCAAAAAGTATACACATAACAACATATCCACTAATGACACACCATACATACAATTATCTTTGCTAGACAACACCAGAGTTGTTTATTTTTCTTCTCTCGGTCGATCTCAGATTTTCGTTGTTTTTCACTGGATATTCAGTTTTGGTCATGCCAGGTGATACCCAACTGCGTAAGTAGAGCAAGAAAGAAGCAAACACAGGAAGAGAGACAATATCGCAAGAATGTATATATTAAGGCAAAGCTAAATACACAACGGTGGTACCACCAACAACTATAAATGAAAATATTAACTTTTCTCGCTCAGCTATTATTTTTGTCAGCTTGATGATTGTTGTTACATGTGCTCGGTTTGCTTCGTCTGTGTTTCGCAGTATTTTTTAATAACAACGGGCATATACTACATGTACATGGTATTTTCCGTACTTTTTGAGTTGCAAATTCACTGTTCGCATGCACTTAATTCAAGTGACGAACTCTTTCCCCCCCTCTATCTCCTTCTATGTCAGTTTTATCTAATGTGAAACGTTGTCACATACACCAGCGTTCTTTGCGTGTTTGTTTCAGTTGCTTAATATGAATATTACTTCAATAATATTCATTATATCCTGACGGTAAAAAAACTGCATGTATGTCGCACAGGGAGCTTTGCGATTCAAAGCGACAATTCTGTGGCACTTGAAGCCTTTGTTCGGTTTCGTAATTGTTTGTCTACGAATAAGCGAATGTTATCGTGAACGAGCACGCGCGCGCGCAAAATGTTCAGTTCACACCATTGTACGAATTTGCTATTACTCTTTACCTTATAGTCACATGAAAAAAGTTTTCAACACATTTAGGCATATATACAAATATATTTGTATCTATATGCCGGTCTCGCGCGTGCTATAACGCTTAAAATATTAAGCTTACGATATTTTGACATACTAACTATGTGTGAATAGAAAAAAAAAACACACACACTGAAATAAAGTAGTCAGTGAATAAAAAAGAGACTAAAAACGAGATTTGACTTACCTTCACCTGCTGATAGCGGAATGTGAAATAAGCAGCTGGCGGAAGAAAACCAATAACAGCACATGCCAACACTAAAATGCTTGTTCGCATCGTCCAATTTAGAGCAGCAACACATGGTGAAGCATCCTTACAGGCATCACATCCTTCGGCGCACGGTAAACATTCGAACGTACTCGCATTATTGTATAATGACATCTCTCCCTGGATATTATTAAATTTTTGGCCGTTGTCGTGTCGTTGACAATTTTGCCGTTAGTTTATTCGGTGTTGTCGACGGCACACACAAATATACAAAATTGATTAAAAAAAGGTGGTGGACGCGAGTGACACATAAAAGCCCAAATTGACGCATTCATTTTTATTATTGTTTTTGGCAAGTGCATTTTCAATGGTATGCCATTTACCAAAACGTATGTAACATGTGTCAAAATTGCAAAAAAAAAAGAGGAGAAAATAACGATAAAACGAGCCAAAGTGCCGATGATCGTATTGGGAATATCGTCGATTTTGAGCCGGGGAAAAAAAGAAAAAAAAAGATTGAAATGCAATTAGCAAATATTTCCGCTATTTTACAATGAGAATAGATAATATATTGGAACAAAGAAATGAGCTTAATCACAACTTCAGCAAATGAGTTTTACTTAATGAAAAATGTCAACATCAGCATGGAATAAATTGTGTTTGACAAACATTCCAACATATATTACATCCCTTACCATCATTTTTTGCATCTCTCTTACCATGCAATATTACTTTTCAATCTATCATCAAATTAAAACTCCTTCACATTAAACAGTTTTAATTTATGCATATACCTTAATAGTTTTCCATAATGTTGTACCAAGTATTTATAAATCATTGTATATAATAGTTTAACCTGTAAATTTTACACAGAGTATAAAATCGCACTTGTGAAGAACGCGCCTGCTTAGCGAGCGCAGCGCCTCAGAAGAGCGTGGTGTACTTGTCAGGAGGCGCTCTTGAGTTCGTATTGGTATACATCACACACTAATACAAACAACGTTAGTCAAACTAACACATTCATAGCTAGGAGCGGCTCCCAGCAAGCGCGCTCTTCGTGAGATTCATGCTCTGATTTTACATTAACAACTTGAGCTTAATGGAAATAGTGAAACAAAAACAGAATATTTAAAATTAATAAATTAATTACGTTCTTCAAGAAATTTAAATAAATTAAAATGGAAACTTTAAAAATGTCCTATTACCTACGGCGAAAAAATGTTGCCAAACAGTGTATATGAAATGTAACATCTTGTGTAACATTCTGAAATACTAATCTAGTATATTTATGGTTAATATAAATATGATATTTATTTTCAAATATTAACCATATTAATGGCGATTAGAATAGAATTCAAAAAAAAACTACTTAAAAAGGAGTTAATTAGATTAATTCTCACTAGTGCGTCGAAATGAAAATAATAAGCAAATCACACAATTATTCCTTTTTTAATTATTAAAAACATAAAATTGATAGCCTACAATTTTGAGAATTGAACTACATTTATAATAGATTCAACATTTATTATATTTATTTACACCTTGACATATGTTTTATTTTGTAAAATGCAAAGGTACTCGATATCATGCAGGTTGGCAACATTATTTGATTCTCAAAATCATCGTAAAAATAATGCGCCCAGAACTTAATATGTTTCATATGAATCATATATTGTTATTTTCCGTCATCTGCATATTTGTATTTAAATGCAACCGTGAGTTTTGATCAGTGATTAAAGAAATTTTGATCAGTGATTGATTCAAGTAAACAAAAAACTGTTGTACTGTCCAACTTCGATGCTGCAATGAAATATTTAAGTGTAAAGTATTGTGAAATCCATTGTCGCTCGATAAAATCTCAAGTACAAATGTCAATTGCAAATTTGCTAAATAAATGGATATTTATCGGTGCGAGAAATGTAAAACTTAAAATGTCATTTGAAATGCTTGAAGATTTGTGGATGAATATGGTTTTTATTTTGGTATGCCCAAAAAATGACTTCTCGAACCAAAATTAAAATTAACAAACATATGTCGTTGTTGGCAATGACCTACTAAAAGTAAATCGTTCATTGCAGTAATATAATCTTCACATTCTTCCATTTTTGCACTAAAATTTGCGTATATATTCAAGTTGACAACAGCTTGAAGAAGTTTGAAGATTTTCCATCACAGTATAAAAAACCAAACAGGCAAAGTTTTTAACACTTTAAATGACTGAATATATTAGTAGTCGCAATAGTGGTGTTTTTAAATCATGTCTCTAAGTAAAGCTCTATATATCAACATCTTTGGTTAAAAAAAACTACTATCATCTAAATGACACAACATGGGTTTTTACCGCAAAGATATCATCATAAAAAGGATAGAAGCCCCATTTTCATCTTGTAATGAATGAGAAAAAAAACAATCTATTTGAAACAATAAATTGCAAAGTGTCGTTTTCATAAGGTGTATGTATGTTGTCATGATCTTAGGTTGCGAATGCCTGTAATTTAAACGGAACCATTTTCAGTGTTGCATAGCATGCAGTAGTCATTTGGTTTTGGTTGGAACAAGCGTAAATCTGTTGTCATAGGTTTTTGATAATGTCTTGTTTATGGTCCTGAATGCGAACATTGGCGCAACGCAAAAAAAAGGACTCAACCAGAAAGACAAGCATTTGGGTATTGGAGCAAGAGTTAAAAAAGAGCACAGAGAACGTATGCATAAGAACCGGAATAATTTAATGATGATAACAATAGTGATATTAAGTAGTTTACTTTTTATCAGCTATAAACAAAATCCCAGATGGTGAATAATTGAAACCACATGTGCGCATATTGCCGATAGACGATATATACATGGATTTGGATAATATGAGAGTTTTCTACTACACCACTGGCTTTACACATATAAAATGTTGACATTTTGAGAGACCTTCACTTTTGAGAGACTTGCACATATTGTAATATCTCTGGAATTCGATGCGTACTTGCTATTTTGTTATTGGTGTATGTGATGCAACATCTTCTTTTCTTTGCTCGTTCTCTTTAAGCCCATTTTCAACAAATGCAAATACATATAATTCAGATTATTCAGGCAATGAACGAGAGCATATCGTTATTTGTTTTATTACAATGACAATATCACATATAACAAAGTTCGGAGTAAATCACATTTAGTATTGTATGATGCGTACACAAACTCTCAATATAAATATTTCAAATTCTTATTTTGATAAATCCTCATGCTAAAGATTAGGGAAAAAATGTCTCATTTTAGACTCGCTCTCATAGTTAGAAAAATAATTTTTATGAAAATGTAAAATACCACAATATTGTGAATGACTTACAGTATGGATAATTAATGCTATAATACCATTCAATGAAAAAGGCTGCCTTTTTCATCCATTTCAATGCCAGTCTTTTGATAATTCAAAATCTGCTTTAGTTGTTACAGTTATAACATTCACGTTATTACAGTCTAAATTAGTTTTTGCTCTTCGTTTGAATGAAACGATACGGGATCAAAAATAATCATTTGATGTAACCGAATCACATTGTAATAATCTAATATTGTCTTCTAATGAATCTCATTTCATATCATTGTCAATTTTACAACATGTGAGGATAGAAAACCCGTGCAGACACATACATTTTATTTCCTTTTGATGAATAAGGAATCACCGCAACGTACAATTACATCAGTCACGTTCATCATCATTTATTCTACTTTTTTGTGTGCGACTTTTTTTTGATAGACACTATCCATCCGCTGGACAAATGAGAGTGACGTGTTTTTTATTCACTGAAGCCATTTTTGCACTGATAAAAAGGAGAACTATGCGCTTTTCATTTGTGAAACTTTACAAAGCGTGGAATATACATATTTCATACCAATTGTTAAAGTGAGTAAAAAATGTAAATTAATTCGTGATAGGCTTAATTCTAATAATGAACGAATTAAAAGTGTTCATTTGATGCGATTCATTGCGAAGAGAGTTTTCTGTTACGTTGCCTGAAAGTGATGTCCCTGGAGTCTATCGATTTAACATATTTTCCCCTGTTGATTATTTCGCTTTCATATGATATTGTTTCATAATGTAAACAAAAACTGTTGTATGAAAATAAACAATATCAACTTTGATGGTTAATTAGAGTTTGATCTGTAGCAATAACTTTTTGTAACGAATAAAAAGAATATTGAGATAATTGTGTCGTAGCATCAGCTCAAAAACAATTTGATAACTATTGTACGAGTTTTGTTGTGGTTTTTGGTGAAGACAAGCTACTTTTCATCCGTTTAAAACTACAAACACACATGAGCGCTGGGGGGTTTACCGGTTTGACCCCCCTCTGAGATTTTTTTTCTCAGATTTGCAATATAAATGTATAAACAATAGCAAAAATACACTGATTTTGAAGTCAAACTTGCAAAATTTCGGCTCGCTTCGCTCGCCAACACACATTTATACATGTTTCTCTCATGTAACATTTTTATTTTAGTTTTCCATATAAAAACC